CGATTACGGGCCCAAGCCGGTGGCACCGCAACCCCGGTGCCTTTAGTTACCTAAAGGCACCGGGGTGGCGGTGCCGCCGGCTTTGGCCCTTTGGCCCTATAAATATATATTTATATATATATATATATATATATATATATATATATATAAAGCCGGTGGCACCGCCACCCTGGTGCCTTTAGGGTTATTGTGCACGACGTGACACAAAATATCTGCTCGCTATCTGCCGAACGGCTCTGGTAGTTCTGCTTCAACACTGATGATGTTGTAGAAATAGTGCGCTCTGGTTGGTCTGGATTATTCGGGATTTTTTATTTTATACAGAAATAAGTTATTTATAATTCAGATGAGAATAAAGTTAGTGTTGATTAAAATGAAGGAAAACAAATATATTTATCTGAAATATAGCACATTAGTTTTAAATTTATTTAGGTTCAATTACCAAACATACAATCTTAATTTAATTTAAAGCAAACAATACATTTAAAATATATGGCGTGTATGCACTTATTTTTTTATAAAAAAAAAAAGATATATATCCAAAAAGACAAGGCCTTAAAGGGTTAAACTCTTGTCACTGTAACAGACACAATCTCTCTCTCTCACACACACACACACACACACACACACACACACACACACACACACGTCAAGTCACTTACATTTTAGATGCAATATTGAATAAGCAGAAAAATCGGATTTTCTGCTCTGAAAATATAAATAAGCTTAAAAATTGAATAAGCACTTTGAATAAGGCACCGGGGTGGCGGTGCCGCCGGCTTTGGCCCTTTGGCCCTATAAATATATATTTATATATATATATATATAAAGCCGGTGGCACCGCCACCCTGGTGCCTTTAGGGTTATTGTGCACGACGTGACACAAAATATCTGCTCGCTATCTGCCGAACGGCTCTGGTAGTTCTGCTTCAACACTGATGATGTTGTAGAAATAGTGCGCTCTGGTTGGTCTGGATTATTCGGGATTTTTTATTTTATACAGAAATAAGTTATTTATAATTCAGATGAGAATAAAGTTAGTGTTGATTAAAATGAAGGAAAACAAATATATTTATCTAAAATATAGCACATTAGTTTTAAATTTATTTAGGTTCAATTACCAAACATACAATCTTAATTTAATTTAAAGCAAACAATACATTTAAAATATATGGCGTGTATGCACTTATTTTTTTATAAAAAAAAAAAGATATATATCCAAAAAGACAAGGCCTTAAAGGGTTAAACTCTTGTCACTGTAACAGACACAATCTCTCTCTCTCACACACACACACACACACACACACACACACACACACACACACACACACACACACACACACGTCAAGTCACTTACATTTTAGATGCAATATTGAATAAGCAGAAAAATCGGATTTTCTGCTCTGAAAATATAAATAAGCTTAAAAATTGAATAAGCACTTTGAATATTCTAAACAGAATAAGCACTGGTCGCTAATGTATAAGTACTAGTACTTAATGGAATAGATACTAGTATCTAAAAAATAAGTACTAGTAGCATGAAAATAGAGACTAGTAGGTTAAAATGATTAAATGTTAAAACGGCTTGCCATATTGGCTCAGAGAGAGAGAGAGAGAGAGAGAGAGAGAGAGAGAGAAAATTACCTTTTAGATACTAGTACCTATTAATAGATACTAGTATTTAGGCTCTAGATCCACTCCGAAAGTCACTTCGTGATCATTTAACCGCTTCATTTGAGAAAAACTATCATTATGACATAAACTCAAAATGTCTTCACGGCAACCCGTCAAAATAAAAGTTCGGTTTAACTTGACAGAAATATATTACCGGTGTACAGTAGAATTTAGATATGTCCCAATGTAATAATACTAACACTAATCCAAATAAATTATCATCAAAACTGAATTTAAGGAATAATCCATGTTTTAATTTTAACAGTAAAGCTCATTGTGCAGCACGTTATTTGACAAAAAGTTTATTTAATTTCATATGATTAAAATTGATGATAAATGATAAAATTTGTGTTTTATGTCTTCATTTTATTACCAGAAAAAACACAACACAGAATTAGTGTGACATTTTTTTTCATATATTTTTTTAAATGTTGTATACGTTTAATGATTCATAATACACTATTTCAATTAATTAGACATGCTTTTTGATTGCTAAAAAATTTACACCACGTATTCGTAATAAACCTGCTCCGCAACACTAGCAGTTCCCCCAATCCCCCACCCCCCCCCCCCCCAAAAAAAATCCTAGGGGAAACACTGGGCATTCATTACGGTGCACGTCCATGGCGATGAGCGAGCAGAGCTGAGCGAACGTTTAGTTAATTTATTCATTCGAGCGCTCTGCAAGCGCCACCATTATCAATGTGGACGTCCGTATTTAAAAGCTCTCGATCCTCAGTCACATACCAAATATGTATATAATTTTGAACACAAGAGGGCAGTATGGCCCTATGTATGAGTTGGTGTTTAAACTAAACTATCACTCAAAGAGCCCCTTCCCCCTTCCCCCCACAGACACACACACACACACACACACAAACAGAATGGCAGGGGGACAAGAAATCCATTCAAACTACAATATCTGACTTTCTGTTGCTCTGAGCTAATGACTTTAAATTAGAAAGTCGATTGGCTTGATGAGAACAATATGTGTGGCAAGTTTTGTAACTGTAGGTAAAACGAGCAAAGTTATAACACACTTTATGTGTCCTTTTTTAGTCATAAAATTAATTTCCTCGCCACGGCCAAACCGTTCGAGATATCAAAAATCCCTCCGGAATTTAGCATCATCAATGTCTTGACGTCATGCTGACCGAGTTTGCTTGAAATCCGATCAATTCCCAAGGAGAATTAAATAGAATTTCAGGGGTATGCGTTTCCAAACAAACCATGATAGCCGGCTTCCTGTTGGGATGTCGTAAAACTTAGAGCACGAAAGTTGTTCAACCCAATGAGATCTATAAGTGTACCGAGTTTCATATTATTACATGCAAGTGTCTTTGATTTATGGACAAGTGTTCGAATCCCAGTCCAGGGGGCGCTGTCGGTCCGCCCTGCCACGCCCGGGTACCAGCTTCAGTCCGGCCCTGATGGCCACGGGTTCTGACCCGTGTGCAAAGTTTCAAGAGTTTTAGAGGATGTTAAGGGCCCCAAAAGCCCCCAAAACCTTGATCAACAATAATTAAAAGCTTTGTCACCTAAACAGACACATCCCCCTCCCCCCACAGACACAGAGGTATGCAGAGAGAGGGAGAGAGTGACAGAGATTACTCCAAAACATCCCATTCAAACCAAAATATCTGACTTCCTGTTGTTCGGAACCAAAATCTGTAAATTAGAAAGTTGTCCGGCTTGATCTGAACAATATGCCTACCGAGTTTTAAGATTGCAGGTAAAACTATGAAACTAACCCTCTCACTTTTGTCAAAAGGTGGCGCTACTGAGTCCCTGCACCACGCCCGTTCCTGAAACTTTGCACATGTCTACTGGCTAATATATGTGACATGTCTGTCGAGTTTCATGCAATTTCAAGCATGCTAAGAGTCTCAAAAGCCTCAAAAAAGAATTTTGAAGTTTGATGTGTTGCCACGGTAACAGTATCAAAGATATCAAGAATCCATTCACAGGTCTACATCTGGCGAATGTTTACATTATAGTAGTGAAGTTTGAAGCAAATCGGGTAAAAATAAGAGGGTGCTTTCAAAGCATTTTGAAAGTGACACACTTCCTGCTGCCAGTTGGTGGCGCTATAACTTTGACTCACAAAAGTCACATCCATGTGATCGGCCTCTTACAGCGAACACACTGCTGAAGTTTCATCAAGATCAGTTAATGTATGTAGAAGTTATAACACACTTCCTGTTTCACGTTTCTCGCCATAATTTCGTTTCCTCGCCACGGCCAAACCGTTCGAGATATCAAAAATCCCCTCGCAATTTTTCATCCTCAATGTCTTGAGTTCATGCTGACCGAGTTTCGTGGCATTTCTTTGAATTCTCTAGGAGAAGTACTTTAAATTCCATTGCATGCGTTTTACAAACAACCCTAAATAGCCGACTTCCTGTTGGGCTGGGGTAAAAAGTAAGAGCATGAAGTATATATGAACCGATGAGGTCTATATGTGTACCGAGTTTCATATTCTTACATACAAGCGTGTTTGATTTATGGACCAAGTTTTCGGAGCCCATTCCAGGGGGCGCTGTCGAGCCCCCCTGCCACGCCCGGGTACCATCTTCACCCCGACCCTGATGGCCGCGGGTTCTGACCCGTGTGCAAAGTTTCAAGAGTTTTCGTGCACGTTAAGAGCCCCAAAAGTGCCCGAATAGTCGTAAGAAAAATAAAAGAGGAGAAAAAAAAATAAAATAATCCTAAGGAAAACAATAGGGCCTTCGCCTTTTCAAGGCTTGGGCCCTAAAAAAAATAATCCTAAGGAAAACAATAGGGCCTTCGCCTTTTCAAGGCTTGGGCCCTAAAAAATAATCCTAAGGAAAACAATAGGGCCTTCGCCTTTTCAAGGCTTGGGCCCTAATAATCCTAAGGAAAACAATAGGGCCTTCGCCTTTTCAAGGCTTGGGCCCTAAAAATAATCCTAAGGAAAACAATAGGGCCTTCGCCTTTTCAAGGCTTGGGCCCTAACAAGAACCGAACCGACAATGAGGGAAGACAAGGTGAATGTTCTTATAGTGCTGTTGATGAGGGAGATCGCTGACAGGTGCGGGTGATTGTGAATGATGTGCAGGTGGGAGCCAAGAAGGGTGATGGGAGATGTAGTGCAGAGGAGGTGACACAGTTGGTAACCGTGACAGTACCAAAACTGAAAAATCTAATTGGCTTGACTCTACTCCATTTCCTACTTGACTTGAATCATGTCCTGCCCTATGAGATAACTGGCTACGTTCATAACCATTCATCCATAATACTTATGTCTATAAAAGTGCTAAATGATGTATCAGGTCACTTATATTTGGTAGTCGCAGTAGAGCTCAGTCTTTGGGATGCTTATCTTTCCTTACACACTCCTGCTTTTCTATCAACTAAATACACAGGCGGAAAACACTATTTGCCGAACAATGGGAGACACTATGTATCCATTGCTTTCCAAGGATGGAGAAATAGTTATTGGAGCTCTTTTTGTAATCCACACTGAAGTATCATTGCCATTATTTGGGTTTACACAAAAACCCCAGCTACTGTCATGCTCCAGGTTTGCTTCTTTATATTTCTTTATATAAAACTGGTTTGCAGGTAATCCACAAAATTTGATTTATAACAGCAAATAACATCTGGAATATTATGGTGTTTTAAGTATAAGCCAAGTTAATGTAAAAGTAAAACTTATTAATCTGATTCTTTATTATTTGCTATTTACCATGATGGTTTAATATCTTCACAGTGTGAATATAAAAGATTTTCGGCTAGCTCAAACCATGATCTTTGCCATTGAAGAGATTAACAAAAATAAAAGTTTGCTCCCAAATGTTTCTGTTGGCTATCGAATTTATGATACCTGTGGTTCAAGACTGTTTTCAATGAGTGCTACTATGGCATTGATGAATGGTCCAGAGTTTGCAACAGGAGACAGATGCAGTGGACAGTCTCTTATACATGCTATCATAGGAGAAACAGAGTCTTCTAACACAGTGATTCTGTCCAGAACTACAGGACCTTTTAAAATTCCAGTGGTAAGGAGCAAGTACGTTTAAAAATAATTCTGATACTATAATGATTATACTGATGTGCTTCTGTGTTTTTATCCAACCTCCCACCCAGATAAGTCCCACAGCCACATGTGAGTGTCTGAGTAACAGGAAAGATTATCCGTCTTTCTTCAGGACTATTGCTAGTGATTACCACCAGAGTAAAGCAATTGCAAACATAGTCAAATACTTTGGCTGGTCTTGGGTGGGAGCTGTGAACAGTGACAATGACTATGGAAACTATGGAATGGCCATATTTCTAAAAACAGCCCAAGAAGAGGGGATTTGTGTGGAGTACTCTGTGAAATTCCTGAGAACAGAGCCTGAAAAAATCAGAAACGTGGTAGACATGATACAACAAGGGACCTCTAAAGTAATTGTTGCATTTCTTACTGGATTTGAGATGAAAAGTCTACTTGAGCAGCTAACTATTCAGAACATTACAGGCCTCCAAATGATAGGTGTGGAGGCATGGATAACTGCAAAAAGTTTGATGACTCCAAACAGTTTTCATGTGCTGGGAGGGTCACTGGGGTTTGCAGTGAAAAAAATCCAAATTGAAGGGTTTGCAGAGTATGCTAGGAAAGCATTCTGGGACACAGCTTTTCCATGCTCTTTTAATGCTGAAATAAATTGCAGTCGATATCAGGATCTATTTGTGGTGAAAAAGTACAACGAAGATGTGCTCGAACAAAGATTTCTAAGCTATGTCTACAAAGCAGTGTATGCAGTGGCTCATTCACTACACAGTCTACTCAAGTGCAAAGAACAAGAAGGTTGTGAAAAAGGCCTGACAATACAACCACAGCAGGTAAAGAAAGAAAGAAAGAAAGAAAGAAAGAAAGAAAGAAAGAAAGAAAGAAAGAAAGAAAGAAAGAAAGAAAGAAAGAAAGAAAGAAAGAAAGAAAGAAAAAAAAACAGACAAGGAGTGAAAGAGGCTCCATTTTTGTCTGACATTTTGTTAAAACGATAATATATCAAAACTGTCTCATTTTTTTAGGTGGTTGAGGCTCTGAAAAAGGTTAATTTCACTGTAAAGACAGGAGACCATGTGTGGTTTGATAGCACTGGTGGCGCAATAGCCCAGTATGAAATTGTGAACTGGCAGCAGGAAACAGATGGATCACTCCAGTTCAAATCAGTGGGATACTATGATGCCTCTCTACCTCCTGACCAGCGCTTTGTGATTAACACTAAAAACATAATCTGGGCCAGAGAAAAACTGGAGGTAAATGGCAATAACCAGTTTGTGCAATAGGGTCTTCCCACACAAAAGGTTCACATTTGAATACTGCTTGACTGATATTAACTAATGTGGCATTCATCTTTACAATTTATTTCTCTGAGGTCTTAAAACAGACCTTTCAAACTGTTGTTTTGTTCTGGAGATGTATTTACAACATATGAAGTTTTATTAACTAAGTTCGGGAGGAGCACGTTCAGATAATTAACACGAGTGGACAGCACTCAGCAATCAATGATAAGAGGGTACATATAGACTCAGCAGTCTTACCTCGATCCATTGACAGTTTGCAGCATCCCCCCACCACCCCTTCTCCACACTCCCAGTTCTAAAACACTTACAGGGGGGAGTACTCTGGGTTCGAGCTGAATTCCGAGCTCGGAGCCCTCTCTCTGGATAGCACGCCAAATACGCATTAAATCTTACTCACTCAAAATTATATGTAAGTGTGAACTCGTGAAACTGGCATTCGTTAGTTACTATTCAACATTTGTGTAATTTTATGCTTCAAAGATGTTCTAGTCTCTGCTGAAAAATACTGGCAATTATTTTTATTATTTTACGCTGCTGCTGCTCATATAACATAGAGTACATGACATAACCCCCTGTACCAGATCTATACAGTCGGAACTGGGGAAAATGGAGGGTTTCTGAAAGCACGCTGCAGATTGTTTAAAGCAAACACTACCGGTATTTGAATGTTGAGCCGCAGCTCATTGGCGGCTGATGCAACAGCTTCCAATCAGCAGCACTATGTAGATAATGATGTGATCACTACCAAATTGAGTTAAGGACCTATCAGTCTGGCCATCTAGGGGCCTATTTTAACGATCTAAGTGCATGGTCCAAAGCGCATGGCACTTAGGACGTGTCCGAATCCACTTTTGCTAGTTTAACTACAGGTCTAAAAGGGTTGTCGCTATTCTCTTATTGAGTAATAGGTGTGTTTTGGGTGTAATATGCAATAAACCAATGAGAGTCTCATCTCCCATTCCCTTTAAAAGCCAGTTGCGCTCGCGCCATGGCGGAATTTGCAAGCGGAAAAACTGAATGCTTCTCTAGTGAGGAAACGGATCTGCTCGTGCGCAAGGTTTAAGCGCGGACCATCTACGGGACAAAGTGTACGTGTGTTGTGGACCTGCCTATAGGCACATATTACTAACGCGCTCTTTAAATAAAAAATAAAAAATTGCGCCATTGACTTTAGACCAGGTTTCAGTTGGTCAATGGTGCAGCCTATTTCAGTTGGCTAAAAATAGACATGCGCCAACAATGCGCCTGAACACACCTCGTTTTCAGATGGGTACACAAATGGGCGCAAATTCACTTGCTATTTAAACAACGTGATGCAGGACGTGAAAATTATAACTGTGTCGGGCTGAAACTAGCAAAAAACACTTGCGTTGCGCTGCATTGCGCCGGGTGTATGATAGGGAGCCTAGTTTCAAGACAGAACTTAGTATTTATTTTCACTTCAGAGTCAGTATAGATAACTATGTATAATGTAATTTTCCATGTAGAAGCCAAGGTCTGTGTGCAGTGAGAGCTGTTCTCCAGGCACTAGGAAGGCTGCACAGAAAGGAAGACCTGTCTGCTGCTATGACTGTATTTCATGTGCAGAAGGAGAAATCAGTAATGAGACAGGTAATCTTCAGTCCATCTCAATATTCCAAAGAAAAATGGTTAGTGGCTCACTTTGTGTTCTTCTTCTACTGTTCAGGGTGCAGTTTATCATCAAAGGAGTTCATTAATAAAACTGTTTCCTTTTTAATCTCTAACTATAGTAAACACAACTTCCTTTCCAGATTCAAATAACTGCCAGCAGTGTCCAGGGGAATACTGGTCTAATGCTGAGAAAAATAAATGTGTGTTAAAGCCTGTTGAGTTTCTGTCATTCACAGAAGTTATGGGTATAGTGCTATTTTTTTTCTCACTGTTTGGAGTTGGATTGACTGCACTGGTGGCCATCCTGTTTTACAGCAAGAAGGACACCCCCATAGTAAAAGCCAACAACTCAGAGCTGAGCTTCATGCTGCTCTTCTCATTGACTTTGTGTTTTCTCTGTTCACTTACTTTCATTGGTCGGCCCACTGAGTGGTCTTGTATGTTGCGTCACACAGCGTTTGGGATCACCTTTGTCCTCTGTATCTCCTGTGTTCTGGGGAAAACAATAGTGGTGTTAATGGCCTTCAAGGCTACACTTCCAGGAAGTAATGTCATGAAATGGTTTGGGCCTTCACAACAGCGACTCAGTGTTCTTGCCTTTACATTTATACAGGTTCTTATCTGTGTGCTTTGGCTATCAATTTCTCCTCCATTTCCCAACAAAAATATGAAATATTATAAGGAAAAGATCATTCTTGAGTGCAGTCTGGGATCTACTATAGGTTTCTGGGCTGTTCTGGGTTATATTGGCCTACTGGCTGTATTGTGCTTCATTCTGGCTTTTCTGGCTCGCATGCTGCCTGATAACTTCAATGATGCAAAATTAATTACATTCAGTATGCTCATATTCTGTGCTGTGTGGATCACATTTATTCCAGTTTATGTCAGTTCTCCTGGAAAATTTACTGTAGCTGTGGAGATATTTGCAATTTTAGCCTCAAGCTTTGGTTTACTGTTCTGCATATTTGCACCGAAATGTTATATCATCCTGCTTAAGCCAGACCAAAATACAAAACAACATATGATGGTAAAATCAACATCTAAATTTTAAGAAATAAAATAGTACAACATTTTATCATAGGATAGTTTTTAGGTGACTGCTACTCACAGCATTAAGTCAAAAAGGGAAAGAGAGTAACTAGATGTGATAGGGAATGCAGAGTAGCCTTCACATCAGGTGTGTCCAAACCTGCTCCTGGAGGGCCACTGTCCTGCAGAGTTTAGCTCCAATTTGCCTCAACACACCAGCCTGGAAGTTTGTAGTATGCCTCGTAAGTCATTGATTAGCTGGTTCATGTGTGTTTAATTGGGGTTGGAGCTAAACTCTGCAGGACAGTTGCCCTCCAAGAGTAGGTTTGGACACCCCTCCTCTAAATACAATACAAACTTTGTTGTCAAAAGATAGGTAATGATTTTTTTTATGTACATTTAACAGAATTTACCAATTTACATGTGATACATGAATATGATCCATTATTGAAATGCCATCAAATCTGTCACCTAGCATCACTCAACAATGCATGTGGTACCTTCAATTTCATATGTTAACCTGACAATTTTACAGCTATTATCATTGGATGAGCTATTCCAGTGCAGCAAAATAAATATAGAAAAAAGCTTATTTATTGAAAAATATATGCCACGTTTGTTGATTTCTGTTTTACCCATGTAAAAGTGTACTAACTTTGTTGTTTTTATTTGAAGAAAACTAAATAATACTTTTCACTGTGTTTTCATTAACTGTGAACCTAAATAACAATTTAAGTTGCATAAGTGTTTTACAACTTAATGGTTCTTGTAAGTGACTGCAATAAAGAACTTAGTGGCCTGGTACTCATTTGCCTGTCCTTGAATATTTTTTTTTGGGGGGGGGGGGGGGGGGGGGGGGGCATGATGACACAAAGCATGATGATTTGTGGCATGTTGCAACCTGCAAAACAGCCTGACGCAAAGGCTCCAGTGACTTGTACTTGCCCGGAAGCTAGGCTTCATAAACATAAAAAATAAAAATAAAAAACATTTTAATTAATGCACAGCTGGAAGCTACACCCTATTAGTGTAAACAAAAAATGTTTAACTAATCTCAACAACAAAGACCATGAACAAACACATGATGTAACATACTGTTAAATTAGGTGTAATTATGGTTTATGACAAGGGGGAGCTTACAATTTGTGTTTGGAACAAATCTCTCCTCAAATTATGAAAGGAAAGGTCTCCAGACTTTACAAAATCTGTTAACAGAGCCTTGGGTGAAATATTTGAGTTTCTCTCATTTTAAATATGCCATGATACTCTCTACCCACTTGGTATGTGTTGATAGTTTGTTCGACTTCCACTGTAGGAGTATTAGCCCTCGGGCCTACAAAGAAGAAAAAGCCAATCCGTCAGATTGACCCGGTGGTAGTGAGAGATTATCTGATGTCATTCCAAATATTGCTATTGTTGAATCAGGATGTATCTCCTTGTAGATTAAAAAATCTAACTTTCCCCTTATTGTTAATTAATTTGACCAGACACCAGTTATTTTGCCAAGAGATATCTTATTTATTTTACCATTTAAATGGATGTTGTAACCTGTATATCTCATATTCAATCTATTATTTTATACTTCAATCACCACTGTCAAACTCATACATTTGACAGTGGTGAGTTCTAGGACATCTGAGCACAAATCTACAAAGACTATTATATAATACAGAGATAGGGCGAAGATTTGAATCTGAGGTGTTTCCGTATATAACATCAGCATAATCAAGTATTGGAAGTAACCTGTTGTGAGAAGCAATCAGCAGAGCGATAAAGTGACTTCAATTGACCATATATTTTCTTGCAGATTGAGTTAATATGAGGTTTGAAGGAGAGCTTGGTATCAAGCCAGAGACTCTGTTCCATCAAGAAAACTAATAGACCAATTTTTAGATAAAGGCAAAGAATTAGGTAGAGTGCAAAACAACATACTGTAAGATTTTTTCCTGTTTGAGGAGTTTATTAGAAGAAAACTAAGCCTTTGAACTAAGTTAAAGTCCGTTTGTAGAGAGTGTTGGATTTGTGAAATGTCAGAACTGGAGGAGTATATTACAGTGTCATCTGCATATAAGTCAATTAAACAGTCAGGACAGATTTGCGATAAATCATTGATAAAAATGGAAAATAAAAGAGGACCTAAGGATGAACCTTGTGGAACACCTTTATCAACAATTTTGAAGCCTGACTGGCTGCCTTGAAAAGTAATGCACTGACTTCTGTGATGAAGAAAAGAATTGAAAAATAATAATGAGTCAGAAGAAAGACCAATAGCATACAGTTTATCCAAGAGAAGATAATGATCATCCATATCAAATGCTTTGGTAAGATCAATAAATATAGCACCTGTCGACATGTTTCTGTCAGATGCTGACAGTATGTCATTTGTGAATTTTAGAAGAGAGGTGGTGGAAACCAGATTGGTGTGGAGATAAGTTTGGGTCATTAAGATATTTAGAAAGTTGGTCAAAGATTAGTTTTTCAAATATTTTTGTTACGCTATTGATAATTGAAATAGGTCTGTAATTATTAATATCTGTGATATCACCTCCTTTATGAAGAGGAGTTACTCTGGTGCAATTCCATGATCGGGGTGGTTCGCAAGTTGCCAGTGATAAATTAAATATATCAGCCAATGGGAATGATAGAACATGAGAGGCGAGTTTAAAGAACTTGATCTCCAGACCATCTGCACCAGCACTGCATCCGGAGTTTATGTCATCAATAACCTGCTGAACATCAGCTGGAGTGATAGTATTGAAGCAGAAGGATCTATTGCACCTGTTCTGGGTCAAGGAAAAATCAAAGTGAGAAGGAAAGGAAAAAGAACTGCCAACTGTGGAGAAGTGCTGACTGAAGGCTTCTGCAATTAGTGAAGGTTCACTGATAGTTTCATTGTTTACTCTGATATGGGAAATAAGGCTTTTTATGGGTTTGTTGGTTATATAATTGATTCTCTTCCAGAATTGCTTTGGATTCTTAAAATCAATTGAAAAATAGTCATTATAGTAATTTGCTTTAGCATTTCTAGTATTGGTTTTACATTTATTCCTTAATTCTTTGTAAGCATCCCAGTCAGCAGGATCATTTGATATATGATATTTTTTCCATGCCTTATCTCTTTGTTTGAATAAGTGTATGAGGTCTCCTTTGATCCATGGTAAGTGTCGACCCTTGACTTTGATTGATGTCCAAGGAGCATGTTTATCTATTAACTCAACAAATTCAGTATAAAAGTAATTCCATGCATCTTCAACAGATGGAATTAACTGAAAACTCTCCCAATTTATGTTTAATATATCTTGGATAAAGTGTTCAGGATTAATGTTAATCGCTTTCCTTACTCTGATTAATTTAGGAGGAAGATGAGGCATTTTGATTTTCCAGATACAAAAAACAATAGAGTGGTCACTGAGAGAATCAGGTAATACCCCAGATTTTAAGTCTATTACTGCTGGAATAGTTATGTGGTATAATTAAGACTGCATGAAGTCATCAGATGACATAACTACAAGTAATGATAGTAATGACAAAAATAAAATAGGAGACTGTAAATCCTACATTATTTAATTTGTTAATCAAAATCATTCAAAGTATTAATTGCCTATATCAAACTTATAGGTAACTATCCTTTCCCGTTTAGGTGACCTAAACTAACCCATCATTTAGCATTACGCCATTTGCGTCATATTATACGGCAAACAGTAGTAAAGCAACACAAACCCTTACTGCTCCCAGCATTGATTTTCAAATAAGAAACAAAAAGTAAGGCAGAGGCAGCTCAAGCAGCACTTATGCCAGTGACAACAATACAAATAATATATAATAAGTTTGATACCAATCCGGCAAGGAGATTATTACAAAAAGGGAGAAGAACTAAAGAGTTGAAAGAGTTCATCAGCAAGCTGAGTATTGTACTATTATTAGCACTAGCCTTCGATCACTAACTTTAGGCTGTCATGTCAGAGTCATTGGAGGAGTTCGTAAGAGAGGGTTCACCAAGGAATTCCTCAGCTTCCTCAGGAGTATGAAAGAATTGTGTCTTACCAGCAAAAGCAACTCTCAGTGCAAGGATAGATCAATGTGTATTTAATGTCCCGATCACGGTGCTTTTTCTTAACCGCATCAAACCCTCGGCGTCTCTGGACCAAACCAGCGGAGAAGTCCGGATAAATGAAGACACAAGCTCCTTTGTACCGTAGGGACTCCTTATTCTCCCTGGATAGTTTTATTACTTTTAGCTTATCCTGGAAATAGTGGAACTTTACCAGGATCAGCATGGGACCCTTGGCTCTGGAGTTGTCCTGGATACCTGTACGATGACAGCGCTCGATCACCGGAGGAGTGGAGAAATTCACTTCACCTAGGAGCTGTGGAATCAGATGTCTCATGAAGCCAAGGATATCTCTAGCCTCACCCCTCTCTGGGATGCCAATGAATCGTAGGTTGGAGCGTCTGCTTCGGTTCTCAGCTTCATCCACCCATGATTTCAGGTCAGTGTTTTCCTTTTCAAGCACTTTTACACATTTGACCAGGTCTGTTATATCATCCTCGTTTGAGCTGACTCTCTGCTCAAGCTCGATGACCTGCTCTCCAAACATTTGAAGCGATCCATCTATTTTGGTCAGATTGGCTCCAAGTGAGTCAATTTTTGCTTCCATGTGTGAAACCATATCAAGCTTCATTTGCTGCATCATGTCCAAAATACTTTGGAGAGTAATTGTCTCATCACCCATTGAGAGGCCAGCCTCTTTCCACTCACAAATAGAAGGATGTGGATGTGGTCCAATAACTAGTTAGTTTAGAACTGAAGATTGGTTTAGTTTGCCTTTCTTGATAAACCATTAGTAGACCATTGGACAAAAAGAGTTTTAGAGTGGAAAAATATGTCACAATGACCTCAGTAAGCAAAACGTTGGGGGAGCAGACTGCAGCCTTTAGCACACACTCACACCACTGCAGCCATTTTGTTGTGTGATCTAGTGATGATTTCATATTCGGTTTTGATGAGGGAAAAAAACGTCT